AGCTTACTTCGAATAAACAAAGTTTATGGGGTTATGCGCAAACCCCCAAAGTTCAAGGGGGTTAGGCATATTGTTAGGAGGAGAGTATGATATTTCTTCTTGCTTGATCACTTCACAGGTTCATTTGTGGTTCGCATAAAAGCTTGATGGATACTCGTGCAAGAGACAAATAGTATGCTCCCGACATTTATAAGGGCGACGTATATGAGATTCCTTTTAAGATTCTTGAGAGCCGCTAAGTTTCCTTGTTGTAACAAACGCCTGGTCTTCAGAGAACTCTGCGGTGTGACTATTATTGTCTGCGCTAGTCAGCAACATCTTGTGTTGTTTCTATAGCTTGTGTAGATTCTTTGAGAAATATGTTGCTTTTTCAGAGGACTTGTTTGGCTTTGCCATACTGTGAATGTGTGCTAATTATCAGATACAAAATTTCTTCTTTTCTTAGCACTACAGATGTATAGGACTTGTTTGGCAATCGCTCAAAATTGGATGGGGTTTAGATTTATTTTAATTTTGAGAACAATTCTGATCTGAAGAAACTAGATCAAAATTGGCCCAGTTTTTCCAAAACGAAAAAGAATATGATTCTATTTTAAATCACCTACACCCGAATTCGCAGGATGTCGTTTGTTGCGCCGCATTTAGGGGCTGTTTGGCTGGTTTCCTAAAATTAAAGAAAAGGAAATAGGATCCCGAAAACTATTAAAAGTTGATTTCCATCTATTTCCATCCTTAAAAATCACTCACATTATCCAATAATATGGTGATAATTCATCTCATCTTTAAAAATAAGTCACATCATCTAATAATATGGTGACAACTCATCTCATCTCATTAAAATTTGATTTTCATTCATTTCCTCAAAAAAATTCCATGAAATAGGTTTCCCTAAATATGAGTCACATCATCCAATAATATCGTGACAGCTCATCTCATCTCCTTAAAATTTGATTTCCATTCATTTCCTCAAAAAAAATTTCATGAAATAGGTTTCCCTAAATATGAGTCATATCATCCAATAATATAGTGACAACTCATCTCATCTCTTTTCTTAGTTTTAAGAATGAACCAAACACAAGAAAAAAACCTATTATAGAAAATAGATTTCTTATAATTGATTTCCTTATTTTTTTTAGCCAACCAAATAACCTCAAAACAAGTCATGAAATTTGTTTCTTAAAAAATCACCCACATCATCTAATAATATGGTGACAACTCATCTCATCTCATCTTAGTTCTTACTTTTAATAAGTGAATCAAACACAAGAAAAGAACCTATTATAGAAAATATGTTTCTTTTTCTTTGATTTCCTTATTTTTTTAGCCAACCAAACAGCTGTTGGCCTTCTTGTTTTGATGATGTTTAACAAACAATTTACCACTAATGTTGTTTGTCTAGTATTTGTATTTTCTTATTTATTATAGTCAAACAACGTTGTTGGAGGTTGGATGGATTGAGCCTACACGATCATATCAAGAGGAGGTTGGTGGAATTGTGGAGTGAAGCATCGTACAATTCAAGTTCAAGATCCAAGTTTAGCTTCATCCGCAACGTGTACCAAGTTGAGCTCAATGAAGATAGAGATCAAGCTTGGGTAATTTAGTTTAGGATTTATATTATGTGTGTTAAGTACGTTAAGCTCAATATCTATACACACACATTTATTGGTTTCTTCGTGTATATATATATATATATATATATATACACAAGTTTTGGTTTCTATATATATATATTAAATATGAAACAAATACATATTCATATATATATATATACATGTTTGGTTTCATATGGTAAAGTTGTTTATGTACACATGTATTTATAAGTTTTACAAAATACATGAGTTTTCACAAATAAAAATTTTAATTTGAGAAATTTATATATATAATAATATATATATATATATATATATATATAATATATATACTAATATATATTATATAAAGTTTGGTTCTTATGCCATATATACTAGCTTTTAATATTATACATGCCCTCATGATATTGAGCTTCATGTTATAATATTACGAAATCACATATTCATAGCTTATTATTGTATTTTTGGTTTAAGACGTACTACATATAAACAAATATATTTTCATATAACATACTCCTTATGTTTCATTCTCTAATGTATTTCGGTGAAAATATCAATATTTTAGTTTTGGACTTAACAATAATCATATACATTCTTTATTAAGGCTACAAAATCTTGTGCAGAGTTTTAAAAACAATGCGCTTAGCCCTAAATGTCAAAATTCATATGTTTACATTTCGTGTTTTGGACTATTTTTGCACCAAAAGATGATATTTTTTATTGGGAAGCTCATTTTGATAACCAGTACATTTAATATGTTTATTATCATGTCTACAATCATATCCAAAAGTTTTATATTTTGGAATTATTGATTAGTTTAAACAGACGGTTTAAAATCAGAAAAAACAGTTCAAAAATCCAGATTTTATAATCAGTTCTCGTCGACTGCCACCGGTCGACCGGCACCTATGTTATTTCAGCTCAGTCGGGCCAGCAGAGAGTTTTGCGTCGACCGATGGCGGTCGACCGAGAGCTCGATTTTGTTTCGTCGTGTCGACCGCACCGGCTCGACGATGAAGTCTTTGTTTGTTTTTCTCGTTTTTCGATCATGGCGATGGCTATAAATACCCCATTGATCTCAGTTCTCATAAACCTAAGAGAATGTTTTGACAAGTTTTAAACGAGTTTAAGTTTGTTTAGTTTGTTTTTGGGGTTTGCTGTTACAAAGAGGAGTTTGCATCATCTGTTGAGGAATTCATCTTCAATATCCTTTCATCATCTCTTTGTGTTTATAGAGAAGTTTCCTTAACTCTATTTCCTAGCATTTCTACTATTGTATTTCATATCAATCTTATTGCTAGTTCTTATTGAGTTAAGTTTTTATTGAATCTCATTGTTACACACACCCACTTGAGCTTATTGTATTTGCATACATAGTATATTAGGGTTGTGAGAGATTGTAACATTGAGTTGTGCTTAATTGAGTTCTCATCTATTATAGAGAACAAATTTATATTTGTTACATTGTGAGTGTTGTAAGGTTTTCGGTGAGCTAGAAAAGCGAGTGTGTTGTGAAGTTTTCGGTGAACTAGAAAACCGAGCGTGAGGAGTAACGTTGATCGGTGAGCATTGAAAACCGACACTGTGAGGTGTAAACGTTATTCGGTGAGCGTAGAAAATCCGGTTGTGATAGTGGATTTCTCCCCGGGAGTGGGGAGCGGAGACGTAGGACGGAAGGTCCGAACTCCGTGATCATATAGTGTGTTTGAGTGTGCTTTGGCGTTCATTTATATTTATGTTCATATCTTATATCGCCATTGTCCATAGCTCATTATTTATATGATCCACTATTTAGTTCATATTGTTTACCCCTTGTGTTAGTTTACATATCCTTGCATATATCATATTGTATATCTTTTTGGTAGGATATATTATCTTGTGTTAGTTTATATATCCTTGCATATATATTTTTATCATATAGGATATATATATCTCTTTGTTGTTCATATTGCTTATCCTAACTTACATATCTTGTTGTATTTCATACTTGCTAGGATAACTTATTAATTAATTTTAATTGATATTTAATCGGATTAGATTAGCATAAGACCCTAATCACCCCCCTCTAGGGTCTAACAACAGCCCCTTAGTGGCTGGGAGCGGTGAGCAATTGCCGATAAGGTCACGTGCCTTGTCGGCAACTTTAGTCTTTCGTTTAAATTTGTTACAGGTCTAATGTTTGGGCTCAATTTGGGTCTGCTTAATCTTTTTGGTCAATGTTTCATAAAGTATTTATTTTTTATTCCCAAATTACATAATTTTAATTTTCTAGTCTATATATATAACTTATACATCCAGTAAAGACAAATACCCCTTTACAGACCGGGCAAAGGCTAGGCTGCGTTTCGGGTCTGGGTTGGTTTTAGGCCCGGGTTTCCACACCCTATGCCCAGCCCACCCTGGAAACTATACGGGCCTGAGCTTGGGCCAAGTCATACGGGTCTGGCAAAATCCAGCCCATATGGGCTGGGCCTGCCTGGCTCTCATATGGGTGTGTCCCGTCAGCCAAGTCCATCCCCTACCAACCTCAGCTTTGCAAAAAGACTGTAGAGCTCACTTAGAGCCTTCTTGACTCTTGATATATAGTCCCCAGCAAAAGCCTTGGACGGTTTTTTTTCTTTAATTTGTTTAGTTTTTTTATTTATTCAATGGAGTGGTAGAAGAGTACGTAGGCTCATCCGTGCTTTCTTTAATAGTAAGTTTTGGATTTATAACAGTCTTTGGTATCAAATAGTTTTTTTTTTAAAATTTTATTCCACGAAGAAAAATTTAAAATATAAGAGAAGAGCGTTGGGAATGCTAGCTCTCAGGTTTTGACGAAACAAAGCATGGATTCCTTCAAAACCAAAAAAATATATCTCAACTCGAGCTCTCTTAATATCTTGTCATCAGTAAAAGAAAACTTTGCTTTAAGGAACGGTAAGTTGAGCCTCCTCACTGTGGTGCTGCAAATAATAATCTTTCAGCTTGCAAGATGCATTATTAATGTTATTATTGAATGATGATCTGATTGCTGTGGCTTAATTTTGAGAAGTAAATGTTTTAAAACCTTACGTTGTTGTTTTCTGAACCATTTTCGATCCTCTTCTTTGCTAATACGTGGCTCATTGTAGGGTTTGGGGACGTAATTAGATTAGGTACTTAGGCTGTGTTTGGCAACAGGCTAAATAAAGGGTTAAGGGGGTTTAACCCTTCATTAGCTTGACAAACAGGTAAAAAAGCTCACAGGTTAGTTAACCCGCACGTGAGGGATAAAACTCATTTATCCCGTGAATTGAAGGGTTAACAATTCCTCTTAGATACGCGGAACAAGGCTTGTTCCGCCTTCTCACGCGAGGGTAGCCGACGGAATTTTAAAGGTACGTTGATTTTCCTCTCCCCTTTTCCCTCTATAATTTCTCCATAATCTTCTGAGAGATCCGTGTAAGATTTCCCCCCAAAAAATTGCTTTCTGCTACTTCTTTCCCTTTACAATTTCCCCCCAAAATCCTCAAAAAAATCAGTAAAAAAAAGAAACAAAGTCATAATTCCCATTATTTTGCTCATGGACGAAAAATGCAATCAAACCCTAGATCATCACAAAGACTATGAAGAAGAAGAGAGAGGAATCAGAAGCTATTGAACTGATACTCTTCCAAGTTAACGAGTTCTACGTGTATTTGGTACTCAACTCTTGACTTCAAATCCCACTTGTCGATTTCAGCAAAATTCGATCAATTTCCTAATTTTTGTTGATCTTTTTTAATTCGATTTGTGTAGATACCTCCAAGGAAGAGCGCCGCTTCTTACAGGTGTGTTTCTTGGTACTAATTGTCATTTGATTTTGTCTTCGACAATGATTTGTTGTGGCTCAAAATTTCCCAATTTAGGAGAGGAATTAGGTCTTGCATGATGATTGTTTGTCCTTAGAACT